CATAAAACGGAAGTTTTGGGTTGGTTAAAATATTGTTTTTGAGTCAAAAAAAAAAAAACTAAAATGATACGATTTTGGAAAACTATAAAAGGTTTGTGTCACCGGAAAAACAGCTTATTTTGCAAAAAAAAAGTAAAAAAAAAAAAAAAGGAGGGATCGTTTTTAAGGAAAAGTATGGTTCTGGGGGGTGCAATCAAATTTCTTTGAAGTCCCATGACTCGGGTTTTACGTGTCGTAGCCACAAACGGTTTTCGCTGTTTTACTCCTCTTCTAAAGCTCTGTCAAATGATATAAGTTTGACTTTCAAATTAAAAAACTGCATTTAACCCATTTTGGTGACTGGCAAGTTTGGTCGAGAAATAAAAAGAAATGTAAAAGATTCCTAAATTCAGCCTTAATAAGCCCTTCTGGGGGTGGTTTGTTTGGCCCCGCCGTGAATTTGCTTGTAGTGAAAGGTAAAAACAAGCCACAAAACGTCAATACTATTATGGATCACTTACGGTCATTTGCCGAGAACACACAAACAAACAAACAAACAAAGCTCCCTCAGTGTAGAAGAGGTGGATGATCATCATGAGGAATGAGAAGTAGATGAAGGGGATGAGGCATTACCCATTTGTCCTAGTGATGAAGACTTTGTATTGGGATAAAATAGGAGAGTCGAGTGATCAGCTGTCAGAATCAGAGTCGGACTCTTAATGCTGTCATCTAAACTGTATGTATATAGCATTACAAAAAACAGATTAGAAAGTTATTTTGATTTTTCATAATACTGACCCACCCTAGTGTATCGCAAGTACTAGATTTTATCATTTATACAATTAGAGGGGAGGGTCATGATATTCTAGGCCAAGCTCAAGGGGAGCGTTAGCAAATGTCACTCCCATTGCAGGGATGGGTCACCTCATTTCCGAACCCAAATTTAAACCTCCCAGCCCCCCCCCCCCCCCCCCAATTTTTTCACAACCCCAAAAAAAAAACCACCATTTTTTCTCAGGGTTTTCCAACAAAAAATATAAAAAAAAAATTTTTTTTAAAACCAACATAAAATAACATTTCCGCTTCTTTTTGGGCCCAAAAAAAAAAAAGAAAAAAAATGTATAAAAAAAAACCCCACAAGAGAAAAAGAAAATCAAAACCCAAACTTAAGTTGAAGATAATTGGTCCATCGTGTGCTATCATGCTCACTAACATGCTTCGAGTGCCACGACTATCATCTACTTTAAGATTATGGCAAGGGGTTGGAGGAGGCCAAGGATGAAAAAGGGGAGGGTACTTATGTGGGCGCAGGGGGGGAGGGGGAAAGGGGGGGGAAGGGAAAAAACAAAGGAAACAGAGTGAGGATCACAACTTTTTTGAGACTCACAAAAGGGAGGGGTCATGATAAATGGGCCGTTAAAAGGGGGAGATTCATGCAAATATATGCCTGTTATCATGTAGAGGTTCACCCACGGAAGAAAAAGGAAGTTCTTTATTTGGTTAAAAAACACACACACAAGAACAACGGAAAAACATTATGGATATAAACTGTGACGTCTAAATTTATTCCAAAGATTGCTCACTCAGAAACGACGTCATGTGTGTAACAAGTGACACCAATTGTCAGTTTAAAGAATATGAAATGAAAAAGCTGAAGTGGTTGAAAAACCAGCTCTCTAAAGCGGTCAGTATTTTCCATGGAGAGAAAGAAACACTGAACAACCATGAAGTTGCTAGCGGAACTGAGCTCATAGGCATTATCAACAACATCCAGGAAGTGAATGGTGAAATCGATATGACCAGCTCAACATTAAATGCAAATACTCTATGGGAACATCAAGAAAAGGTTGTTAACTTTTGTGATGCTGCGATTGCATTCATTAACAGTCTCAAGTTGCCACCACTCTGTGACCACATTTTGAAAGCAACAGATGCTGGTCGTGGGGTTGGTGTCACTAACATCGAGGTTAACTAGAGAGACATTGACATGTCAAGGAGTTTATTATTAAAATAGCTGGACTCACATGAACAGGATTCACAGGGCACCACACGATTCAGGACAAAACGAAGCGGAGCGTTCCAACACTGCTATAGGTGAAGCTTTGGTTGATGGTAGAGCATTACACTGGGAATACTTTCAACCAACCGATCTCATTAGTGAAGAAGAACTGAAAACACTCACAGTTGAAGAAATGAGAGAGCTGGAGGCAGAAGAAGTTGAGCGTAATGCACGGAGAGTTGCCCAGGATGTTGTGTCAAGAATCGATGGCGACCCTTGGACCAGCTGGTGACTGTATGAAGGCCTTTGTTACTAGTCGTAAAGAACAGCAGTTTTTTTTCAATACCGAATGTGTTTAGCAATACTATGCTGCAAAGTGGGAGACGAGAAAAGTAAAAGTCCCAGGAAACAACTATTTCAAAAAATTAGATGACTTCATACAATCGTGTATGAGTACTAGAGAAATGTTTCACGTGAAATGAGTCAATGGATCCCACCCCTTGTCCAGTTCCAGACATCAACAAACTTCCAAAGTATCACTATCTGCCTGTTGCAGAAACACCCATCACAAATACAGACGACGGTAAAAGAAGAGAAGTGGAAGATTATCACCCTAGAGCACGTTTAAATATCGAGGATAGTGCAAGTGTTCAGACCTTTTGCAACAGATACATTGTCGAAGAAAGTCTTGTGAAAAAATACCTGGAACATTTAAATCATTTAGAGATGATGAGTGAGAACAGAAAAATGGAAAAGAAAACAAGAATTCGAAAGAGAACACAATGTCTTATGAGGTATTTGACTGGATGGAAATGCTGAATAGTGGAACACTAGCAAAACAGGGTTCATGTGTTCTGGACAAATACATCCATAAACATAATCACGGTGAGGCCAAACCACCCCCCAAAGGGCTTAGATTAATTTAAAGTAACTTTGCTTGCTTTAACTCTTTATCAACCAAACGTGGCCTGGAAATATGAAACAACAGGCCAATCAAAATGGCTCATAGGATGACTCCAAATGACAAATTATGACGTCACATTTGCTGACGTCATTCATACTTAAATTTTAAACTTTCGAATCTCCCAATTTTTTTTTATATCGTTTTTGAAAGAACTATTCAAGGGAAGTTGAAGGCTGAAAAAAGTTTTTCGGTTTCTCAAATATGAGCTAAGATATGACATTTTGAATTTGGATAAATTCGGAGCACAAAAACAGGGTACCTCCCTTGTAGAATGAGTCTAAATTTAAGAGTTTTATTGTCGAGTCACCCTTGCTATTTAAGTTACACATCTTTACTGTCGAAAGCTAAAGGAAAAAGAAAAATTTGAAAAAAAGAATTTCCTAACTGCGCAAAAACCCGGAAAACAGTTTTGTGACGTCATAAAACGTAAGTTTTGGTTTGCTTAAATTAGTGTTTTTGAGTCAAAAAACAAAAATCTAAAATGATACGATTTTGGACAACTATAAAAGGTTTGTGTCACCGGAAAATCAGCTTATTTTGCAAAAAAACAGTAAAAAAAAAAAAAAAGGGGGGGTTGTTTTTAAAGAAAAGGTTTGTTTGGGGGGGGACAAAAAATTTTTTTTGAAGTCCAATGCCTCGGGTTTTTTTGTTTGATACACACAACGGTTTTTGTTTTTTTCCTTCTCTTTTTAACTCTTTATAAATATAAATATTTTTCTTTTATTAATAAAAAATAGGAATACACCCATTTTGAGAGAG